ACCCGTCACGATCTCCTTAATCGCAACCTCGGTGCCATCAAATTTATGCCTCGCATACCACACCACAGAGAACGAACCCGACCCGATTTGCCTCCCACCAAGTAGTCCCCAACAAATCTGTTTCCACCTCTGCTTGTCGATTGAGCCATGGAGCAAACAACCCAGCAAACTCTCGCAAAATCGCCAAGAAGAATAATAAACCCAGAGCCCAGTGAACTTGAAGCTCCCTATCCCAGCTCGAGCTGCTGTACCGATCGAAGACAGCTAAAATCAAACGCAGAACAGAGAATTGACGCAAAATTTTTTCTGGCCTTTTTGAGTTTCGCTTTAGTGGGGCTTTTGCGGTTCGCGTTGAGTGCTCGAGATGATATGTCGGTAAGGCGCACGGAGACGGGTTTCGTATTATGAGGGTTTGTTTAATTTCCGATATTCGTTGACGACGACGAATTGTCCAGGTCTTATCGGATAAATATCCTGTTATCGTGATTATTGAGGAATCAAACGGGATTATGAGCGAAAACTACGAACTTCGAAACCCGTCGCGTGGCATTACTGTGCGCCGGGTGCACTGCCCGTTGACTTGCGTATAGCGGTCGTAGCAGGGATTGAGGTGGTTCCCTGTGATTGGGGCTTACTTTGTCCAGGTTTGTTTGGTGAGCAACAAAGACGAGTCCTGGTTTACCCCGAACCAGGCGCAACATTTCCATCCCGGAGCTGATTGGCTTCGTGATAGCTAAACTTCCCAAATCGTGGAATTAAAATAAATTATTTTGGATCAAAATCTTTTTAAAAGAAAATGAAATAAACATCAATTTTCTTGAGTTTTTAGTAGGTGGGCAATAAGATTTGATAATGAATTAAGTCTTTTATTAGAGAACAAAAAACATAAATATTGCGGGAATGGTTGAAATCTTATGTTTTTTCAGCATTTAGGATTATTTTATCTTGCATTTATATCAATTAGGCTTTTTATTAGTGACAATAATAATAAGTAAGTCAAAGAATTATTCTACTTTGGTAATAAAAAAGTAACTGATAATGGATGCATGTCACAGATATTAATATAACAAAAATGTATGCGGTGGTGCTTGGCAACTCCTTTGTCTACTTTTTGTTTAATAAAGTCCCGTTTAATGGGTTAATCAAGGATGAATAAACACAAATTATCTTTTCATACTTAACCTTTTTAATATTAAATAGATTAAATAACAAAATTTGATAAAAAATTGTGTTAAATAATTAACCAAGTAGATATCTATACTATGTAGGAAAAATAGATAAAATAATTTGTTACTTGTTACTGTCCGCCAACCCTTCCCATCACTACCACTTGCCATCATCCACTATTAATCATCATCTGTTACATAGCATTATTAGTCAATATTATTTATCGAAATATAAAAAGATATTTTAATAATTTACACATTTATTTGATAATTTATTTAAATTTAAGTTAAATTTGTTAAATATAATATAATAATAAAAAATATTATATAATTAATATATTTTATTAAAAATATTATCTTATTATATTTTATTTAATCCAACTTACTAAACAAACTCTAATAATACACTTTTTATATCAATTCTTATGTTAGTTTAAAACCTAAATATATCAACTCTCGTGTTAGTTTAAAACCTAAATTTGAATGTATTCAATCTAATAAGTAAAAGTAAATTTATCTATTAATAAAAACTAATTAATCACAATTATTTTTCCCTTGGCATATCTTTTTAACTAATATTTCACATTGCTACAGTACTGAATGTTAAATATAAACACTATATTTAAATTCTTACTGTGTATGTAACTAATAATTTTTTTAAAGAATGATCTCAAGTTGCCATGCATTTTTTATTGGAAAAATTACCATCCCGAACAGCTTGATAAAATTATTGACTTGGAGGGGTAAATATAAAATATTTCAATTTGGGATTTAAAAATATTTTGTTTAATTAAAAATATTTACATTCTCAATATATTCCTATTATTACAATTACTATAAACATATTTTTTGTATTTACAGATATGAATCATTACAAATTTGTATTTGTGTAATTAGAAAACTTGTAATAACTATATAGATATATAATTGCAATTATACGTATTCATATTTGTAATAATTGTAATAATATGAGTATTTTGAAAATGTAAATATTATTAATTGAGTTCTTTTTTATCTTGAATAAAAACATTTTACATTTTGAATTGTCAAATAATTAAAATTATCAAGTCGTTGTTATCGATAATTTTTCCTTATTTTTTCTTTTCTTACTATTCTTTGCACACGAACATTTTAACAATTCCCATTATATGCTAAGTAAAGAGTGGACAATTAAGAGTTTGAATTATAATAAAGTGTAATTTGGAACACTATATGCATCAACCCAACCATAGCAAACACACGATAAACATTAAGCCTTACAAAAGTGTATAAACGTTAAATCCATTAAATAATCCCTTGATGTATTCTTGTGGCCATGGCCAAGATTATTATGGTCAATTCTCAAGCCAAACCAAGCATGAAATGCAAGGCTTGCACTTATTTTGGACGAAGCATTTACGTTAAAAAACTTAATAATCTTCGATTATTTTGATTCAAGTTAACTAAAATTTATATTGTGATTGATATTTTTTAATGGGAATATTTTTATATATAAGATTCAAATATAAGATTTTATTTAAAGAGAATTAAATATCTATCACTCCTATCAACTTTTCATTTATGAGACTTTCATTTTTACCTACTTCATGTTATATATGAGGTACAATCAAAATTAGAAGTCGATTCATATGTGAGGAAGGCCTTGCTTTTTCCATGTTACATTGGTCATCAAATTTTATCGACGTTAACAATGGTAATATTATATAAAACAACTAATGTTGCTTCAAATTTAAATAAATTGTATTTCTACCAATAATATTTTTAAAACTATTTCATTCCACCCTTTTCCAACATGAATAATGAATCTGGTTTCTCATTCAATTGATATGTAGTATTCACTGCTATTGTTACATTTATATTATTTTCATTTGCTCTATCGGTTAAACCGTCTGGGTGGTGTAGTTGGTTATCACGCTAGTCTCACACACTAGAGGCCCCCGGTTCGAACCCGGGCTCAGACATTTATTAACTTATTTTCATCTGCCATCGTTTCTTGCCTTCTTTCTGGTTGCTTTACAATTAGCTTTTTATCCCCAATATATTATTTTATTATTATTTTTTACATTTCAAGATAATAAAAAATAACGAGTTCCATAATACTTATGCCGCTGAATTCTGATATATAAAAAGTTACTATTTCTTGCTTTTGTAACGTAATATAATATTTTTCTTTTATAAACTATTATAATTTAATTCTTATTTTTAGTCATAATTAATTTGACAAATTTTATGACTTGGATATTGAGCCAATTATGTAACTTAAAAAATCCTAAAAAAGGAACCTAATATCCTAAGATGCCCCTCCTTTTTTCTCGCGCGTGCATCTCCGCCATCATCGGAATGTTTGCAGCTAGACAACCGGTAGCCGCGATGGCGATGCCTGGCCTCCATCTTTGGTAACGTGGTGAGACTTGGATTGCCTAGTGAGTATGGCGATGCCAGCTGGGAAGAAGGTTGTTTGAGTTGGGTATTAGAGTTTAGATCTTGACATAATTTGTGGGTTTAGTCAAAACGTGGGGATTTGGATTCCATTATTGTCGCAGATGTTCCATTTGTGAGAGATGGATTTTCACTCTCCAGATGTCTAGAGGTGAAGAGTTGGTGGATTAGTAATGGAGTTGCTTCGTGGCGATTTAAGGGAAAACGGTGAAGAAGTGTGAGCAAGCTTACGACTTGGCAAGGGAGATGACATTAAGGAGTTGGGGACAAGACGAGTGCTCGCCGCCGGTGAGATGTTTGGGCTCCGGCTTACAGCCTGGTTCTTCTTCCGCCTCAAGGACTGCCTGCTGCACCACCACAGTAGCCCAACTTCAACCTCTTACTTTCCGACCACCAACACCGTTGTCTTCCAACTCATTTTCACCGTGACGGTTCTGGTGGTCACACTTTTACAAATCCCGCCCGATAAAATCACCGAACCAGAATGTGCCTCCGCCGCCAACTTCCGAATTCACTTTCTCCACCGGTTTCTTCAAATTCGAAGCCCTGTTCGTGTATGACTTTACCCTTCTCAGTCGATTCACGAACTCAGATTACCTTCGACTTAGTTAGGACCTGCTTTTTACTCCATGAAGCTGGAAATATACTGCAGATTCAAGAGTAACGCCATAAATCTTGAAACGGTGAGTTTCGTCTCAATTCCTAAACCCTTTTCTGGCTATGTCTTTTTTACATAGAATTATTTCTAATCCAATTTACGGTTGGGGTATGCTCGGTTCTTCTGCTACTTCTCTTGGTTCTTGCAGTTGATGATTGTAGAGTTGGAACTTGGTGGCTTCCCCGGCGGCGGAGATGGAGATATGGAAAAGTGAGAAATGGATAAATCTCGATTAGTGTTTCTTTTTCATATACACGCACACGCATTAAAAGTTTTTCTTTATTCTTATTCTATTTTTAAAATATTATTATTTTTTACATCCTGATCGATGCAACGTGACATGAAATGTGACAATTTAAATCCAATTTCTCAACATCTTTGGTTTTGGACGACGATATCAAGTGAGTTTTACAAATTGAATGCCTTTGACGATTTTCTAAAATCTGATGACCAAATTGAGAATTCCAAATAGTCAGAGGACCATTTTTGATATTTATCCCTCACCCTTCGTCGGAACCTGACGCTTTTACAACTCCTCCTTTCTGCAGCCCATACGTCTACTCATCGAATCTAACCCCAACCATTTCTGATACAACCTGTATCTTCTACTCCTCCGTTAGGTTGCTTGCTTTATTGAACATTTTGTCCTTGCGTTCCCTTGCTCTTGAGTTTCCTTTACCCCGAATTGGTAAGGTTTATATTTGCTTCCCAGAATTAGGCATTGAAATTCGATCGAAATGGACTGGAGCAATGTGACGGCAGAAGATCTGATCGAAGCCCTCCGTGAAGTTGAGTGGTCGTCTCCTCCTCGCCCAATCTCCGAATTCTTCTCAAGGTTCACCGTGCCCCGGTCGTATTCGAAGTGGACTAGTCGCATCAAGTGCAATCTCTACTAGTACGGCCCACTTTCTTCAATTGCAAGCACTAGAATCACTACGTATATAGCTTAATAACTATGTGTTAATTTTCTGTCCTTTGTCTGATTTGGTGCTGTTTGATTGCTGAAAAAATTATGGGGAAACAGCAAACTCGAAAGTTTTTATTGTATTATCTTAACATTTAAGTGAATTAGGTTTTTTCTTTTCTCGGATACCAAATAGTATATTTAGCTCCTCATTGATTTTTGTGGTCGATTTTGCGCAGCTATCGGACAAACTACTTCATCATGATTATTTTCATTCTTGGTAAGCTTACATATGAATTTTGAGACGACGCCTGTCATATTTCTGCAGCTAGTCTTCTTACGTTATTTATATTTGTTTACATTTCCATTTGCAGGGTTAGGATTCCTGAGGAGGCCGCTTGCCATTGTGGCTGCTGTTTTGACAGCGTTTACAATAGCCTTTCTAAACGACAGGTAATAGTGGCAGCAGTCGTTGGTTATGATTCTTTTCTTCCCCCATGGTTTTCGTCGTGTTATTTCCAATTCGAATAGCTTAAAAGAAAAAAAAAAGAAGGGATTTGCTTTATAAATTGTTTATGCGTCTTTCCTCATACTGCTTATATATAGAAAATAAACTAGGATCCTGTATTGAAGTGGGAAAAACTGTCTTGGCAAGGACCTATTTACTTCTCTTTTGTAGTCAAGATACATTTCTGGGATTGTAAACAGATCAAGACAGAAAGAACAATGGAGAAGAGAAACGGGGATTCTAGAATTAGGAGGGGACGTCAGAAAAAAAATAGTTGGAACAGATTGGGAAGAATCAGAGGGAGAAGAGGGGGGTTGACCATCAGTATTCCTAAGTTTAGAAGTTCTCAGTAATGCTAAAATGGACTAATCTAATTTGTTGATGTGTATATCTAATATGGGCATTATCCAACTAAGGAAATGAACTATAAACTTAAGTTTGAGAGGAAACTAAACATGACATAGAATCTCATTGAATTAAACAACCACAATTGATTAAAACGCTGACTATAAATTTAGATGTAAAAGCATAATCCTTCATAGTCTTAATCAGTGACAGTGCATTTTATCTAGCATTTTTTTTTTATCTTACAGTTTTGCTAACAATTGGTGCTACAGCTTTGCAGGTACTTTTAATGAGAAGGTGACAAGAACAGTAAGGCAGTTTTCTCCTCATTTAGCTGCAAAAATGAGGCCTCCTTTAACGTGAGTGTATTGTCATTGCTTTTTTTATATATGCAAGATTTAGTACCATGGCTTATCTAGCTGTCTGAAGATTAGTATTGTCATTGCTTTTTTTATATATGCAAGATTTAGTACCATGGCTTATCTAGCTGTCTAAAAATCTTCAGACCTGTTATCCGCGGTCGGCCATCAGCTAAAAGAGCAATTTATATATGTGGATGGCCTCGTTGGGTGTTTGTCTTAATATTTGGTGCTGGTAAGAAATATTTATTACCAATTTGCTGTTTAAACTAAAGTGAATCTGCAGAAAACAATTTTATTCTGAGGAGAGGAAAATTATTGTTTATAAATTTTGACTAACTAGTATTCTCCTTTTTTCTCTTTGTAGCGAGTTTCATGCTCTGGTTTATTTCTTGTGGGCTCTTAACTGTACTATGGGCATTTGCAATTGGCCTTCTTGGTATATTAGTCATTAATTCAATAGCTTTTCTCCTTGATGGTTTTCATATGTTTTGCCCAAATCATTCTACCCCTTTTTCTCCTTTTCTTTTTCCAGGCACCCTTCTTCATGCTAGCTTTAGAACACCTAATCTGAAAGCACGGTTGAACACATTCCGTGAGGAATTTCGTGCAGTTTGGCGCAATTATAGTGAGATGTAACTTCCTCTATTGATAATATTGAAAGTGAGTATGTTGATCCTTCTATTTGATCATTATGTTTGGATATATTCTTGCATCTTGCTTGCTTTTGTTTCCCATAAGGGTCTTGACCTGTCCTCAATTTTGCAATGCTTTCTAAGTCTGCTTTACAATTGTCCATTAAATATATTTATTATTTAGAATTGTATTCATCTATTATTAGGGATTTATTTTTATATAAGAGAAGACTTATCTTGCGTTATCTCTATGAGGTTTGGCTTATATAGAACTCAGGGATAGAGATTAATATTTGATTTCTAGCTTTATGATAATGGATTAATGTATTTACAATTCAATTTTTGATCATGATTGAGATTAAGATTTAAAATCTGAAAAATTTTGAGTTTGTGAGCTTGTTGTTTGACTTAGGCAACTAAACTAGCTGATCACGTGTCATTACTCCGTTCAAAACTCATTGCATATTCTATCAACGATTTGAGATGTTTCTGGTATTTAGTGATAACTGAATAATTATATGAAGCTATTTTTAGGTATCTTATCAGAACTACGCAAAGAGATGCTATTAGTCATCTATATAAAGTAAAACAAACAGAACAAGGTATGAGTGTGAAGACTCTTTTGCATCATATGGGCTCGTGCTTTACTTGCCAACCCATCAAAGTCTTAAAAATTTGCCAAATCAAAAACGTTGAAGGATCAAGATGTGAGATGAAGATTGCAAGTTTCAACCTGACACTAGATTGGTGTGCAGAATGATCTCTTTTCTACCTGACACTATCATAACTAAATTGCTGTTTTATTATTATTATTTTTTGGTGCTTGCTGCTCTTAGAATTAGGAATTGCACACCAGATAATTTTCTAAAGGAAATTTGATTGGTCTTATTTCAGTGAACCCATCCATAGATTTAGTTTAGAAGACATGGTCGAGATTAGCAGTTGCTTCATTGTTGATTCACTAATCTTGCAATTCGTGCTTCATTGTATAAATTTACCATTAGACTGTGCCCGTTTTAAAGTTTTCAGTTAGCTTCTAGAAAGTGAAGCTTTTGTGGGCATCATCTAGAGTTTACCATTTCTGGAAGTTAACCTTCTTCCTTTCAGCACGGAGACATTACAGCCATGCTTTTAAGATAACTATAACTTGAAATTTTGTTTTTTTTATATATAGTTGCCTAAGTATTGGGACATCCTTGTGCTAAGAAAGACCCTATTTTCTTTATTTTGTTCTTTACGTGTTTGATTCTCTTCAATAAACTTCCCACTTTTGGTGTATCGTTTGTTTTGTTTTTTTTTTTTTTATTCTTTCATTTATTTACTATTATGGATTTTACCCTCATCTCTTCACTCCATTTAGGCAATCATTGTTAGTCCAGAAGAAAATGCACTGGGTTTCTTGGAATTTGGACGTTCATCGGCTGTAACTTAGGAATCTCCCGCAACCGGCTGTACCAATCTTTAATTGAAATTTGAAAGTAGCTGCTGGTTTTTCTTGTCTTTTCCTTTTTCTCCGTAGTAGTAAAAGGATGAAGAAATGCCAAGTGAGTTTGCTTCCGGTTATTCCTCACTGGAAGGATTTCCATCTTCTTGTTGGTGACTGCTTACAAGGATTTATATTTTTCTTATTCTTTTCGATGCTAAGTGCTTATGTGGATTTATTGTGTATGTATTTTATGTAATATTCAATTTGACATGAGAATATGTTCAATATCAGCTGGGCCACGCTGGCGTTTCCTGCCAGTGCCAAGTGGGTTATTTTGAGAACATTAAGCTCCCTCTAATCTGGGCTTGTCACTTTTCGCTCAGTGTCATTATCTGAATTGAGGATTGGTTTAGATCCTTTAAATTATCAACTAAAAATATTAAATATTTATTTATTTTTGAATGATTTGAATCCTCGAGATAATGCCTCTTTCTATTGTTGGCAAGATTTGGAAGTATTGGTTTCTTGGGTTGTGCTTCGGCTCGGCTGCCTTTAGAGACCCGCCTAGGGAGGTATTTTATGGCCAATGCCTCAATAAAGACAATAGTGAAAATAGCATTAGAGGTGTTAAAATACTTTTAAAGGTCAAAAACTCGCAATGTAATTTGTGTAAATTATAGAATAAATAAAATTGGGTCTGAGTTATAACGCAAGCCAAATCCTAAATATATTCTTAGAGTAGGAAATATGAATATTAATATGAAAATTAAAAAGTAAGTGATCATTATGTTGATTGGCAGCGCTTAGCCTTGTGAGGCTCCCGTCTATTTCTCTATGCCTCTTCCTCATGCTTCCTAAGTTTTTGTTGACTCTCTTCAACTTGTTTTCAGTATTGAGCATGGAGTCGCAGCAATTTCAGAGCATAAACGAACTGCATAGATCCAAGGGGTATTTGTAAGGGGTTTTTCAAAATGATTTTGAGTTATATAATGCACACAACCGATTTTGAAATTTTTAAAAATTTAATTTAGATTTTGCTTCTTTCATTTTATTAAGAAAAAGTGAAATTAGAACCATATTTTAACAGTAGGAAGAGGATGCTTCTAAGTGATATTATTATGTTGAAGTAGAAACTCTTTTAATATTTTTTTAAATTTTTTTCTCAAATTTAAAATAACCAAATAAAATTTTTAATATTTTTTCTTTTATTGGAATGAATTATAAAAATTATGTTTTAAATACTTATTTTACTAATTTTTTAATTTTTTTCAACATATTTGACGAATCCATCAGGCTTCTGCTATAATTTCCGACTTGACGACTTTGGTGGATAATGCCTCTTAGTTTAAGAAAAAATAAAACTTTAATATAACTCACACCACTCGTCTGGGTGGTGTAGTTGGTTATCACGCTAGTCTCACACACTAGAGGTCCCCGGTTCGAACCCGGGCTCAGACACGGTTTGTTATTTTTATTATTTTGCCGTTTGTCCACGAATACTACAGCGTCCACCTCCCTTCTTTGGGCAACCGTGTCACTGGCGTAGCCCTTGGGTTTTCGCTCTTCATCGGAAGCAGAAGCTTCTATCGACCTTCCTCTCTCAGCTGCATATGTTTCGTCAAGCGAATCTAACCCGACCATTCTGTTGCAAAGCTCTCCCGTAACTTTTCCACCTCGGCGACCTTGCTGGCTTGAACTCTTTCCCCGGCAAATCGAATTGTTGTTGTTTTTTTGATTGCCAGAATTAGGAAACTAAATACGATCGAAATGGATTGGAGCAACGTGACGGCAGAAGATCTGATCGAAGCTCTCCGCGAAGTTGATTGGTCGTCTCCTCCTCGCCCAATCTCGGAATTTTTCTCCAGGTTTACTGTGCCCCGATCGTATTCCAAGTGGAGCAGTCGCATCAAGTGCAATCTCTACTAGTATGACCCCTTTTCTAAAATTACACTAGATTATGGCACATAAAAGCTTAGTAGCTATTTCATGTTTTCGTTTTTTTTTTTTTAGTCCTTCTCCTTTGTTGTTTTCTGATTGCTGAAAGAAATCATGGGGAAGCAGCAAACTCGGAGGTTTTTACTATATTACCTCAATCCCTAATGGAATTAGGTTTGCGTTCCTTGGGCACCAAACAGTAAAGGATCTATAGTTAGCTTTCTTTCAATTTTGTGTTGTGATTTGTTTTTTGCAGCTATCGAACAAACTACTACATCATGGTTATGTTCATACTTGGTAAGCTAACTGATAAATTTAGAGATTGAATTCTTTCATATATCTGCAACTAGTACTTACTTCTTGTATTTATTTCTATTTGCATTTTTCATTTGCAGGGTTAGGATTCCTGAGGAGGCCCCTTGCTATTGTGGCTGCCGCCTTGACAGCGCTTACAATTGCCTTTCTAAACGACAGGTATACTGGCAGCAATAGTTGGTTATGGTTCTTTGACTTTCCCCTGCACTGTCTTCTTTATTAATACATACTCCAATTCAAGGTGCTTATGAATCACATAGCTATTTATTAGTTTCTAAGATGGGCAAGATCTCTTTACAAATTTTTTGTGCTTCATGACTTTGATCTTGGGATCCAATAGTCCAATGCAAAAAATTATCTAGTCCCAATAGAAGAAGCTTGCAGACCTTCATAAATTTCTTCATTTTGTTTAGTTAAATAAAAAGGGGAAACTGGGGTCTTTTAATGCAAAGTTATTTATGGCGCATAGTGCACCATTGCGTAAAGGGTCCATAGCAACATAGCGCATTGCAAATTGCATTGCGCATTGCTATTTGATAAAATAGTGCACATTATAAAAATAGTATATAACACTAATATATGAGAAAAAACAGCCTCAATGAACATTAAAAGTTTAATTAGTATTCAAAATATAACACATCCAACAATCATTTGAATCTGTCAACATAAAATGGCACAAGTCACAAAAATTGCATATAACTTTGTTTGCCTGCTTAGGATCAACGTTCTTGCAATACTTCCAAGCTGGATCACTGGTACTCTTACCAGTGCTCATATTAGAATCCAATGAAAAGCTGAAACAGAGAGTGCGAAGTAAAATATATGACTAAGTCAACTAACCAGCTGAAACAGAAAGCAGAGAAGATAGTATAAGAGCAAGAGAGTATAAAGAGAGTAACAGCTGACCCACACCCACCTGACCAAGAACAGGTGAGTAAGAGAAGAGACTCAAGATAGCAAGATACCTGGGAGAATCAAAAGTAAGAGAAGAGTCCAGACAGGAAGAGAAGAGAGCTGAGAGACAGAGTCAATCGAGAGTAAGAGAAGAGTCCAGACAGGAAGAGGAAAAGAGAGCTGAGTGACAGAGTCAAGGACTCGAGTCGAGTTGAGACAAGAGAAGAGAAGACAGTTGAGAGAAGAGAGTTGAGAGAAGAGAAGCTAACCTGATTGATGTCAACTCAAGCAGACAGTAGACAGAAGCTGACACAAATGTGAGCAGACCAGAGAGGTGAGGAAATCAAGGGCTAATGCGAGCGAGACAGAGGAGAGGAGAAGTATTCTCAAATTACACAAGGCTCAATCAATCTGGGGCTGCTTGGGGCTGATCAGGGTTTTTCATTTTAGGCAAAACATACTGTAGAACATGTAGTGCAGCAGTAAATAGCACATGTAGCGCATGCTATTCCTTGCAAAGCCAACATCGCAAGACAATGAATCCATTATAGCACAAGCTGCTATAATGATGGGATATATGCACAATCATGATGGCTATAGTGCGCTATTGATAACTATGGTTTAGTGAAGTGGGAAAGAATGTCATAGGAAGGACCTTAATAACTTGTCTTTTATAGTGTGGCTGGACGCGTGGAATTATAGATAGAGTGAGAGAGGGACAAAGAATAACAGAAAAGGGACAGGAAGGAGGAGACTAAACAAGGATTTAAGAGAGAATGAGGGAAGAATCAGAGGTGAAAAAAAGAGGAGGGGTACAAGGAGTGTTCCAAAGTTTTAATTTGTCAATAACGCTAAAATTGACTAATCAATATGTTGATGCCTATGTATACGTGGTCCTTATCTAATGAGGGAAACAAAACTCCATTAAGAAACTTAAGCTAGAAATGTAACTAAGCATTGATTAGAATATTTTGAAATTGAACTACCAAAATATCTAATCCTAACATGTAAGTTTTCATGGTCTTCATCAATGATGTAGCATTTTCTATAGCATTTTCCTTTTATCCTATAATTTTGCTAAAATTGGTGCTACAGCTTTGCAGGTACTTTTAGTGAGAAGGTAACAAGAACTGTAAGGCAGTTTTCTCCACATTTAGCAGCAAAAATGAGGCCTCCTTTAACGTGAGTGTGTTGCCATTACTCTAGTTGTATGTGCAAGATTTAATATTTCTGCTTGTCTAACTGTCTAAAAATCTTCAGACCTGTTATTCGTGGTCGACCATCAGCTAAGAGAGCAATTTATATATGTGGACGGCCTCGTTGGGTGTTTGTCTTGATATTTGCTTCTGGTAAGATAATTGTCTTGACCAATTTGCTTTTCAAAGTTATGTGAATCAGCGGAAAACAGCTTTATTGCTGAAAGAGAAAACACCTGTTCACTGAAAAATTGACTGATTGACACTTGTACTCTCCTTTCCTTTGTAGCAAGTTTCTTCCTCTGGGTTGTTTCTTGTGGACTCTTAACTGTCCTATTGGCATTTGCCATGGGCCTTTTGGGTATATTACTCTGTCCTTATTTAAGGCTATTTTCCTGGATAGTTTTCATATTTTCTAGCTAAATAATTCTTTCTTTTTTTCTTTCTCTGTCAGCTACCCTTCTTCATGCTAGCTTTAGAACACCTAATCTGAAAGCACGTTTGAACACATTCCGTGAGGAATTTCGTGCAGTTTGGCGCAATTATAGTGATCTGTAGCTTCCTCTGTTGATAATGTTGGAAGTGAGTATATTTATCCTTGCTTTTATGTTGATCATTCTGTTGTTTGGGTATATTCTTGTATCTTGCTTGCTTCTGTTTCCATATGGGTATTTTGCAGTACTTCATTTTGCAATGTTTCTAAATCAGCCTTTTCATCCGTTCGTTGAAATTTTTTAATTTTTAATTTTTATGATTTATAACTTTAACAATCTTTCATTAGGATGTTCTTTTTATCCCGAATTCATATTAGGAGTGGATTCATTTTGAAATTTATCATTTGGAGTTCACTTATCTAGAATTCAGGAGATTTAGTTAGTTAAGATTTGATTTCTAGCTTTCTGCGTAATGATTTAATGTATTGAACAATTCAATTTTTGATTATGCTTGATGAATAAGAATTTAATGAAATTTGAATTTGTGGGCTTGGCGCGTTTGACATGGGCAACTTAGCATAGCTGATCATTCATCTTTTCCCCTGTCAAATGTCATCATTCGAGATGTATGCTTATGTATTGACAACTGAGTTATCATTTGATTGTTAGGTGTTTTATTAGAGGCCATCAGATTATACTAAGATATTGCTGTGAGTCTTCTATATAAGATAAAACAAGTTAATGCAAACTTGACGAGGTATTATAGTGTATGCTTTTTTGTTTTATTGGCATTTATGCTTGCATGCCTTTAAAATCTCAATATTTTGCCTAATGACAAAGTTAAAGTAGTAAAATGAGACAAGCAGTGAGAATTTCTTAGCAGCTTGTAGAGACGTCATTTTAGCTTCTTATGTGCATCAGGACTTTCTTCTTACTAGTGTGGGCATAGGACAATCTTCTCATATCTGTACATAATGAAATTCTAATTTATATATATCCATCTTGGTGATTTTGAACTCCTTTTTACATTTCATTCATCCTTTAGTTCCTGACATAACTGTGAAAGTGAAAAAATAAAAAATAAAAAAGGAACTTCTTTTCTTTAGGTTAGATGGGAGTGATTTGGTCTTGAGAATGTTTTCCCTTTTACCGAATAGTATTAGTTCTAGTAAATTTCTGATTAATATTTTGTGTGTGGCCATATAAATTGCACATAACATATTTCAGAAAGAAATTTCGTTAGTCTTATCTTGTTGAACATCCATATATGTGTGTATGTATATAGTTCTGAAGCCATGTGGTTGCAATTTGGAGCTGCCTCATACTAGATACTCTTTTAAGTTCATAACTTATTTTTCCTTGTGGAAATTTGTAGTTAAATCATCTTCATGTTAAGGTTTTCAGTTAGGTTGTAGAAGGTATGAACCTCTGTGAATGTCATCTACAGTCTGGCATTCCTGGAAGCTTCTGCTTTCCAGAAGTTAGACGATGGGCTTCTGGTTTTTAAGATGTCTTTTAACTTGAAAATTACTCTATTTTGATTTACTTGCCCACTTTAAGATATCCTTAAATTGAGGAAAGGCTTTGTTTTTTTATTTTGTTGGTTGCCATCTTTGTTTTCCTCTTTAACGTATTTTCTGCTACGTTTGTGTTGGTTTATTTTATTTTATTTTATTTTATTTTAAATTTGTGTAATTTATTCCCTACGTACTATGGTTTTAACGTCTTTCTGCTTGCCATCTAGGCAACTGTTGCCAGCTCAGAAGATAGGGATTGTGTTCTTGGAATTTGGACGTTCATCACTAAGATATTCGATTCTCATGTGACAAGCGGCGCTGATCTTTACAGATCATCCATGGGGTGTCCATTGTCCAAGTATTGTTATAGCCAAAATAAACACTTGGCAATTTATGAATTGTCTTGCGTAGAAACATTCAAAATTTTAGCGTAGTTGGAAGCTGAAGGATGTTGATATAATCCCTTAGCCTGTGTAAAGGTCCTCTAGTAGCCTTCGTCAGCCAGAGCCAGTATTGCACCACTACTTCTGTTTTTATATTGCTTTTGTTTTCCCTTTCTTTTGTGGAATCAGGTCCTTGTTAACAGTTTAATACATTTCAGATTGGTCTGAAGATACGAATATGCACTGATACGTACGTACATATGCTCTTACGTGTTTGGTTATTTTTGTGGTTGAGCTAGTCTACACGTCACCCTTTAACGGGTTTCATATAATTTAAAGCTTTATATTATACAGAGTGAATGTATAATATAAAATAAAATATTATGACGGTGTGTGTAGAAGGATAGTTGTCCTCAAGTTAAGTCGTCCTCACCAAGTCAAGATCCCAATCCTACTAAATAAAATATTATGCTCGAAGTGAGTATTTCCTCGAGTCATCCTATAAAGAAAGATCAATTTACAGACGGCAGGTGTGGCATGCCATTTGCGGGACAAGTGAGGACGGCTTATTTTTAAGCTGGAAAGCAGGTCTCCTTGTTCAGTAAATCGAAGTGATTGAATTTTAGAAGTCGTTGTTGAAGCTTTTCTGAGTTGAAGCAGTGAGAGGCAAACCAAAGTATATTTTCTTCCCATCATTCCCACATCAAGGTATTTGTAACTTCTTGTCGGTACGTGTACAAGGATTCAATTTTCTAATTTGGATTTATTGTGTGTTCTATGTAATATTCAATTTGGAATCAGAATATGCTCAACGCTAGCTGGATCCGCCTGGCTTTTCCTGCCAAGTGGCTTTTGACATTCTCAATTTTAGACTTTTAACATACAAAAAAGTTTCTTTTAAGTTATCAATCCAAAGTAATAGTTTATTTTTTGAAATGATTTGAACCGTGAAATGGATGCATTCCAAATCAATCTGCGGTTACGAAGGGAAATGAAGCAGAGCACTTTCTGTATCTATAAATTCTAGTTTTCTCGCATTGGGTTTAACTTTTGGTTGCTCACCATCCAACGTGGCTGGGTACGTCGTTGGTTACTATTGTCCATTGTCATTAAAAAATAAAAAATATTTTATTAATTTATATATTTATTTAATATTTTACTTATGAATTAAATTTATCAAATATGATATGATAATTTAAAATATTAAATAGTAAAAATACTTTAGTTAAATGTAATTCTATTTTACTTTATCTATCTTCGCTTACCAAATGGGCCCTTAATAGTTTATTTATTGGGTTGTGGTTGGCTTGTCTTTCTAGATCGAGAATTGAGATTATACTTCAGCAGGGCTAGTGACCTGCCCAAAGAATTGTTTCATTCAATGAGCAAGATGAAAGGTGTCAAGGGTTTCTTTGCCATTAAGATGAATTTGGAGAAAGCCTATGACAGGCTAAGGTGGTCCTCTATTAGAGGAATTCTAGAAGATATAGGATTACCAGATAATCTGATAGAATTTATTATGAGATACATCTTTTTGGCTTCTATGAATATTCTTTAGAATGAGGAATGCACAAAGGATTTCTCTCATAGTAGGGGTATTAGGCAAGGAGACCCGTTATTGCCCTATATTTTTGTTTTGTGCATGAAAAAGTTATTTAGGATCATGAAGGACAGAGTAAACTTTGGTGCTTGGGTTCCTATAAAAGCAGGTGGGAAGAGTTCCCAAATTTCACACTTGATGTTTGTAGATGATTGGGATCTTTTTGGCCAAGCAAATGAGAAGTAGATAAGTTGTACCATGGAATGCCTAGATGATTTTTGTGCCATTTCAGGGAAAAAAGTCAATAAGGGAAAGACTAGCATTTCTTTCTCCAAAAATACTAAAAGGGAGACCTATGACAGACGGATTAAGTTGTGCGGTTTTATGGAATTGAGTACTATGGGACAGTGCCTTCGTGTTCCATTGGTTCAAGCAAGACACAATAGGAGAGCTTTTCATTATATTGTGTAAAATGTTAAGGCTGGATTAGCGGGATGGAAAACCAATCAACTTCCATGGTGAGGAGATTTTGGCAAAGTTTGTCTTGAGTGCTATTTCTATCTATCATATGCTAGTGAGCAAACTCCCATGGGCTGTTGTTAATGATTTTGAGAAGATATAGAGAGATTTCATTTGGGGACACGAAACGACAGATAGGAAAGTTCATTTAATAGTTTGGAAAGTTTTGTGCAAGCCAAAGGCTATGGGAGGTTTAGGCTTGAGAAGCCTCCATGTTATGAACAAAAGTTGTATCATGAAGTTAAGCTAGAGCATAAAAACAGAAATAAAAGCCCTTTGGATTTTAATGTTAAGAGGGAAATATGGTAAGGGTGCAAATTGGACTTGCTCCATCTCCGTCAAGCCTTTGGACTCGAAGGGGTGGAAGGACATTCTGCAAGATTGGAATTCATTGGCCAAGTTCGAATTTTAGAGTGTCGGTAATGGTAAAAGGGTGGACTTCTAGACGAATTACTAGATTAGCTCATATTATAAATTGGAAATAGCCCGTATAGGGGATCCTGGCACCTCAACTAGCTGTAAAGCGCTGGACATGGTGGGTGCCAATGGTGATTGGTGTTATGATAGAATTAAAATATGCTAGATCCAGCGCTATTTAGCAAGTTGCATGCATTTCCTCCACCTTTCTTAGAGCTAGAATTAGATGCTATTGTATGGCCCGGTGAAAGTGATGGAAATTTCAGTATATGTAGTGCCTATAGATTACTTCAAGGTCATCTACCGGATCATGGATCTTGGGGTTGGAACAGAATTTGGAAGCTACAAGTGCCTGAAAAGATTAGAATATTTGCTTGGCTTGTCCTCCATGGGAAACTACTAACAAATTAAAAGAGAGCAAAATGGTGTGGTGGTGACCCTAGTTTCAGTGCTTGTGGAGCTGGATCTGAGACTATCCTCCATGTGCTTGGGGATTATCCTAAGGCTTCGCAAGTATAGAATAGGCTAGTGCCTCTCCCTTTCTGGGTTATTTTCTTTGATTTTGAGGGCAAGGAGTGATGTCTTAATAATCTTATGGCACTTTCGAGAAATGGTTGGCCTGAAGTATGAGTAATCGCTATTTGGTACTTTTGGAGTTGGAAGAATATGAGTTTATTTGAGGAGTTTTTTCAAAACCAGCTGATCAATGCAAGGTCATTGAATGGTGAAGATAAGTTAGAAGTAGAGTTAGGCAAAGTTGGAGGGTGGGACTTAATCCCATGGAAAAGGCCTTTGTTAAATGAACCCCCCCCCCTCTGGCATGGGGGTTAGTTAAACTTAACATTGATGAGGTATCCAAAACATGTAGGAGGCAAGCAGAATGTGGGGGCCTCTTGCATGATCATGAGGAAGCTTGGATCAAGGGTTTCTCCAGCAACATTAGAATGACAGGAGCATAGGAAGTCGAGGCTTGGAGAGTCTTGCAAGGGCTCAAACTTGCCTGAAACTTGAGTTGTAGAGAGGTTATCTTGGAGTTAGACTCTAAACTTTTAGTGGACATTTTTAAGGGCAAACGCATCACTTCTACAATGTGGATTCCAACTCTACCTAAGATTAAGCTTATTTGAAGCAGAATTGAGTTTTGGAAGTGCACTATGTGATTAGAAAAATAAACAAAACTGTTAATGTAATGACAAATCTTAACTTATCCCACGAAAATGAGTACTAAAGATTGGGCTTAAACCCCCAATCAACTGAGAGATCTCCTCCACAATGAGGCTTTGGGAGTCTTTACTCCCCGAGGTGAAATTTTGTAATTTTCTTTTCTTTGGGCGTTTAAACTCAAGTGTAACAAAAAAAGAAATTGTCCTTTAGCATCTAGGAACTTTTATTTTTTATTTTTATTATGTTTTTTCAACCATATTTTCCTTAAGGGACATTTGGAATGTTCTCCCAAGACGGATCTAAAGAAAAAAAAATCAAAATTTAAATACTTATCCCTCTCTCTCCCCAACTCTGTAAACAAATTACGCAAAATTAAGTAAATGTTATTACATTATATGATAAACTGCATGGTGCAACAACCAATTAAGAAAAGAACACAAAAATAATCCCTATTAAATTTTCTAAAGCTTTTTTTCTTCAACTTCTCGTAATTTCCAAACTTGGTAGAATTTAGATAATGCTTGGATATACGGGAAAACCTGTCGTCTTTATTTGGGCCTGTCACGTGAGGGCAACCACATATGGGGATAAAGACAGCACTAATCAAGCTATACAATGAATTATGACTAATAAAATAATTATAAGGGTTGCTTTGGGCTGGGACAACTGTAATTAATATTACCACCGTGTTTGGTTGTGTGAAATAAGACTGCTCTCTGCTTTCAGCTTCTTAATATTATGAACTTTTCTTAAAAACCTCTATAAAAAAATTATAAAGCCCCTCAATGTAAAATTTTAATTAGAATTTAATCTAAATTTGATTTGAATTTTAAGAATCAAATCTAATTATAAATATTTATAATTCGAGATAAGTAAATCGGACATGAAATTAAATAATTTAATTAATTAAAAATCTAAATATGAATTTTAATAATATTTTTATTAAATTAATAATTTTATATAAATATATAATGTTAATAAATTCAAATTCGTAGAGATTAAATTGAAAAAAATTAAAAAATTTAAGGATTAATATGATTGATAGAATAAAGTTAAGAGATTTAAAAAAAAATTAATTTTTTTATCAAATCAGATTTTCTTATCATGTTTTAGATTGTTTATAGAATTCAAACATAGATTAATAAATATAAATTGTATAAAATTTCAGATCAAATTCAGATATTTAATTAATTAATCGAATTCAAATTTAAATTTAATTAATTTGATCTAATTTTACACATTTACTGTCTTATCTCATATTCATGCTGTAAAGCAAGGTTTTCTATAATAAATTAAACAATTTTCTTTAATTACTCCACTTAGCTGTGGGTCCCAAAATGCGATACTGAACATTTGGGCTGTTTGGCATCGTTTAAGGTATCACACAGAGCACCAAGAATCCAAAGGAGAGGATTAAGAAGAATATTCTACCCGATGATTTTGGATATTTCAGATTCAGACGTGTGAATTGGGATTTGAGTATTATTTTCATACGGGGGTCCAAATAGTAAGTAGAATTTGAATGGCATATGGACTAGTTGCACCCATCACAAACACAAGCAACAATTTGCTTGTGGAGGATTATAACTAAATTAAGTAGCTTGCGGAGATGAAGCTTTCTATTTCACACAAATTATTGCTTCCAAGCCAAACACAACCCTTCCTTCAATTATAATTTTCCTTTTAAAATATTGAGGTATTATTGATAAGGAAGTGGTTCTCTCCTT